TGCATCCTCGGCATCCTCGCTATCTTCAGCCTCATCTGCTGGTTTGGGGGCAGCCTTGGTTGCCGCCGCTGAACTGCTCTTCTTTCGCTTGTTTGTGGTGCTGTCGGTGTTGCGAGCCGACTTGGGCCGTGCCGCCTCCTGGAATGTAGCCATTGCAGGTGTTGACGGCTTACTGGCACGCCCGCTCTTTGTCACTGTTGCAGCGGTGACTGTCTGTGGTACTGGCGGAGGCTCAATCGGGGTCTGTGGCTCCTCCGGCTTGGGCGTTTCCTTTTTCTGCTTCGCTACTGGTATGCTTGGCTTGATGGCCGTCTCGGTTGTCTCAGGCTCCTTCTTCGTGATCTCCGGCACAGGAGGTGCGGATGGCTCTTTAGGTGCAGGCTGCGGTTCGACCGTAGGCTTGGGCGTCGCTGTCACAGGCGCGACCTCGGGCGTCGCTGGCGGGTCTCCGTTCGGCTTAGTCGACGCAGACGAAGGCGGCCGAGATTGCTTCCCGCCCTCTACCGCCGCTTGTGTAGTGCTCTGCTTGGCTCGGGAAACGGTCGGCACTTTAGGCGCCGGGGGCACTGGAGTGACGGTCGGAGCAGGAGAGCCTTGAGGCAGCGGTGGTTCGGGGAAAGTGCTGAGAACTGGAGAGGACGTGACGGACGGGGACATGGCCGCAATACCGTTCTTGCTGTAGATCACCATACGTCAGCAAACATGTCATCGAATTGGACCGAGGCTTCTTTTCAGCGAAACATACCTCTTCTTTGCCTGGCCGGTACCAGAAGGTAGGGCCTTTCGCTTCTTCGGGCCCTGCCCCTCCGGAGCTGGTGTCTCTCTGGGACTTGTCGTCTTCGCCTTGGAGACGTTGTTTCCAAACACGGTGCTCATCGCGCTGGGTACATTGTTTCCACTGGGCGTCTTCTCGACCTTGCGTCTCTTGGGCTGCGGCGCCGACCCGTTTGTTGTTCCATTTGTGGAGATGCCTAGGCCTACATTGGCGGCGGTCTCGGCCGCTTTGCGTGCTTTGCTTCCTCCGTGACCCTTCTTGCCGGCCTCGGGCTTGGGTCGAGCCTCGGCATCGTCGCCATCAGTCTCTTGGTGCTGCGTCTTTTGGTTTTTCTTTGCCTGCACCGCCTGCTTCCGCGCGTCGCTTCTGGCAGCTGCTTCCTCTGCGAGCTGCTGAGCAGCGGCGGAAATAGCGGCAGCGCCCTCGCGCCGTGAGCGCTCAGCATGTGCAGCCTTGCTGACGGCTCGGTTCTCAGGGTATGCCCAGTGTGTATTGCTTCCCCATTTTGCCTCGTCACTGAATTCGCTCTCGACGTGGGGCCAGACGTCGTCAATACGGGCAAGCTGCTTTTGAAGAGCGTCATTCGCGGTCGAAATGACGTGGTTCTTCTCTTCCAGTGAACCCAACATCTCCTGAATCTTGATAGCAGTCTGTCGGAAGAGCTGTCGTCGTGGCAGGTTGCTTGGATCGTATATGGACGTCGCGTAGGAGCCGTCGGTTGAGGGGGCAGGAAGAGGGGCAATGGCTCCGAGAGGGGCTCCGCTGGAGCTGTTCTGGGCGCTCATCGGAGCAGAAGCTGGCGCGACACTGCTAGATGCGTCGTTAACCGGTCGGGGCTGCGGAGCTGGCGCGCTCATTGCAGCGTCGACAAGCTGGAAGAGGGCATCTTCGGGAGCAACGATTTTGGCATCGACCTCCTTGAGTAGAGTAAAGTGTCGGACCATCTCTTTGGGAAAGGCGGCAATGGCATCGGAGAAGTATGTAATGGCGGGAAAGATGTCGATGGGCTGGTCAGAAGAGGAACCACCGGTGAGCGAGTCCCGACCGCCGCCGGATCCTCGCAGGCCAGAAGAGACGCGCGGGGGGTTGGTGCGAGTCTGTCGAACAGGCTGGGACCGCCTGCTGGACGGCGTATCCGCCGCGGATGTTTTGGCCGACTTCATCGCGACTTCGGTCGGCAAGGCGCGCGGAACGTACGAGGTCGTGGGCGGGAGAGCGATGTGGTCGCAGCGACGAGTTCTCGGGACGAAGTGCCGCGCTGGGCAGGGGGGATCTAGAGTGGTCTCGCCGTGCAAAAATCAAAATATAGGTGATTATAACGTGTGAGTATAGCAATCTAGAGCATTCTGGTCGTAATGAAGGCTCGGGAGGTGCTGAACAGCATCGGTGTGTGAGGGGAGTGCGCGAGGAAAATCAAGAGCGACGCCTCGGGATGTTCCATCATCCACGTCTTTTTGGGGATCTGCTCTGCCGCGGGCGGAGGATTGGCTGAGGGACCCCATCCGTCACTTAGCGAGCCATTTCAGCCTGAGGCCCCCGTAGCTCTCTCCTAGGTAGCAACTGGACCTCAAGGCCCCTGGACCGCTGACAACTGCCCAGGCCAGACCTGGTTTTCTCCCACCTCCAGCCACCCGCTGACCTACCATCTGATTTCGCAAATGCGAAAAGCCACATTGATTGTCGTCATCCCTCGTCTTCTTATCGCGGTGCGCCACACCTTGATAAGGCTCACAAGATGGATGCGTTTTGGCAGCCAACATACGTTCCATTCCAAGCTGGGGAACTATTTCTTTGTCTGGAATTCGAAAGTCCAAATATTTAAACACACCAACCTTGAAATAATCTACTTTATTCTTCAATCGACAAATGAATCTTGTGGATATCAATGCGGTTTACAATCACTGCCATGCTGGTATCAGTCCCGCCGTTCCTCCTGCTGTTGACGCGACCTAGGCCGGAGGAATCCTAGGTCGTTGCTTTCCCTAATCAGGGACCATTATGAGATATAGAACGCCTGCTCACTCCATCGATCAGAAAGCAGCCCACTCGTTACAGATTCGACGTCACGGGCTTAGGCGAGCTTCCGCGCATTAGCGGCGATCTGTCTAGGCCTCTCGTCTCTCTCGATCGTTTTTTGCCTCCATTGCCATTCTAGAAGGACAGGGAGGAAGTGCTGCAGATCGAAATCGGGCCACAGACACTTGAGGAAGAAGATGTGAGTGTCCTGGTGGCACTGCCAGAGCATGAAGTCGCTGAGCCTCTCTACGCCACTAGTCCGAACGAAGATATCCAACGGGGGGTTACCAGCAGTGTACATGTGGTTGTTCAACGTTTCGGCTGTGATGGTCTCCGGGTTCTTCAGGCGCATTCCGCCAGAGGAACCGGGACGTTGATTTGGTGGCGACGGCGAGTCTGGAGGCAGGGTCGTTGACGATGATGCGCCATCATCGCCGTCTGACCGGGATGAAGGTGCCGGGGATGTGTCGCGAATGGTTGGAAGAGGCTCGCGTCGGTCTAGCTGCTTCGACATGATCTTTTGCGAAATGCGCGCCGCAGGGAACGGCGTGTACTTGGGGCCCGGGGGCATCATATACTCTTCCACCGTGGAGCGCATCGCTGTCGCCATTTCTTCCCTTGAAGTATACGGGAAGCAGATGTTCAAGACGTTGCTATCGAGGTCAGCTCAATACTCCTTGCGTCCGAGGTTGCGCATTTCTTACCGCTTATTGTACTTGGTCATATCCACAGCACGGTCGACCACGTCGAGAACGTCCTTGCGGATGAGATCCCTCTGACCGAGCACCCGAACCGCCGCACCATATCGATCCAGCAGATCCCCATGCTGTGTCAACTGCTCAAGTTTCACCTTGGCCAGCTGCATCAGCCCATCGACCTCGTATTGCGGGCGGTTGAAGTTTTCGATGCTGAAGGCGTAAACTGTCACGACTCGGACGCCGCACTTGTAGCAAATTTCGAGGACCTGCACTCCGACGGTCAGTCATAATTTTGGTAGGAATGGCTTGAAGTGATGCGCACCCGTGCAAGGGCTTCAAAACCGTGGTGGTGGCCCTCTATCGTCTCCATACGCTTGCCTCGGGCATACCGCCTGTTGCCGTCCATTTCGAAAGCGACATGTTGGGGAATTGGCCCTTGCTTTAACGCTCCGATGAGCAGTTCGCGCAGTTGATTGATCGCCCACTCCGCGGGCGGGGAGCTCAACAGCCATCGGCTGATGTGGTTCAGAAAGATTTCTGACATGGTTTGCAGACTTGGATTTTGGCGCGACCTCTGGCGGAGGGAAAGCTGGCTAGTTGTGCAGTTGTAGACAGGAATAAACCGACTTGAACAAGTTACAAATTTGGTGAGGAGGAAAAGACAAGTATGTCAACCACAAGTACAGAGAAGAGAAAGCACGAGAACAGGTTGAGCCACTGCGTGATGGCGCGTCAACTCTGTTGGCAACTTGGAAAAGTACCCGCTTGATCTCAGCATTCGGCCACCGGAAGCTTGGAGTCTGGAAGTAGCGGCGGCGGCGGCGTGTGCCCAGAGCTCTGCGCCTCACAGAAATACGTCGCGACAGGGATGCCGAAGGGAAGCAGGAGCATCACAAGTTGGCAGAAAAGCGGTGGGCCAATGAGACTGTACACATGCCCCGTGTTAGCGGGTGATGCGGGTGAACAAGCCACACCCTTCCCGACCATCAGCCCTCCAGCCTCGCTGTTGCATGCGGTGTCATCCATGGTTTGAACCGGGGGACGTTGCCCTTGCCGATGAGGCTTGCCTTACCTAACATTACTGTGGCGCTGGAACGTGGACCCGAGGCTGGGTCATTCCCCAAACCCACTCACCCACTGTCAGTCGGCTTGAAGGTCATTGTGCAGGCGCTGCCGCATGCGTCGACCTTCGAGTGGATTTGACAGTGGCCCAAAAAACCACCTGGCAACATTGGCCGTACGGCCTGCTCGATTCATCCACGACGTCGTCGGCCACTCAACCCGCGTCGAATCACTCAATCTGAAGAGGCAACACGTATCGGAATATCCTGCCCGAGACTGCGCTGCAAGGGAGTCGCATTTAGCAGAACAGAGCTTCCCATCGCCAGGGATCGCCCACTACCTGAGCTACCTACCACCTACGTGCCTCTCCCTGCCCCTCTGCTCTGCCCTGCCGATCGAGAGTGATCCAGACAACAAGTCGAGCTACGATGCGATAGCACCTCGACAACATGTCCTTCACGAATGCGCCTGTCACGCGCACTCTTGTCCTGGGCTTGGTCTCAGGCTCCATCGCGGCTAGCCTGTTTGACGTCAAGCACTACTTCTACATCATTGTCGACACCCATCTCTGGCGATACCATCAGCTCTGGCGGCTGCTGACATATCAGCTATGCTGCACCAACTCCAGCGAGGTGCTGTTCGCCTCCATGACTCTCTACCACTTGAGGGTAATTGAGCAGATGTGGGGTTCGAGGAAGTACGCCGTGAGTTACTCCGAATCCCAAGTACGTGAGGTCTCGTGATGCTGACTATCGCCGTCGCAGTCTTTCATTCTCGTGTCGTCACTCTTCACTGCCATGATTCCGCCAGTATTTCTGTCCCTAGTGCTACGGCCATTGACTGCAGGCTTATTCAACTACATGCCTGCGGGGCCGACCCCGATCATATTTGCGATCCTCGCGCAATACCACGCCGTGATCCCTCATATTTACCGATATCGCGTTGCGGCATCCGCTGCCCCGCCGACCAATGACCAGTTCGTTGGGCTCACCTTCTCCGACAAGTCGTATCGCTACGCACTCGCCATCCAGCTCGCACTCTTCCAATGGCCTGGCTCTCTGCTTGGTGCACTTGTTGGATGGGTTGTCGGATACTCCTGGAGGAACGACTTTCTGCCAGGCGCGATGACCAAGTGGCGTCTTCCCGGCTGGATGGTTGGCGTCAGGAGCCAGAGGAGGCGAAATGAATTCGAGGGACTTCAGCGCAGGCTAGAGAGTGAAGGGTCAACTGCAACCGCTTCGGGAGCTCAAGGCATTGATACGGATGCGGGGCGTAGGAGACCAGCCGGCCAGGATGGTCGGGAGGACTGAACAAACAAAAGTCAAAAACCAGGCATACTCCAAGAGGAATAAATGTTTCTTGTCGTTACTATCGAACCACTGTTCGTCACGGCTCTACGACGTCAGCCGTAGTGATACAGCCTACCAGGACAGGCCTGAGGAGCTCACTGATGCGTTGATATTAGACTCAGTGACTGACAGGACAGTTACTTAGTAGCAGATCAACTTCAACCTTGCATTCATATGCATTGTGGTTTGTACCGATTATATGGATGGGCTCTGAATGGCCTAATTGCTGGGAAGGACTTGAGGATGAAGATGTAAGCAAGGCTCTCAACTACTCATGCGTCGGTCGGGTATTTTCAGCAGCATGCCTGGCTCATCATTAAAGAAAATCCATTGATCTGCTCGGTCTATCGATATTATTGAGGGCCCTGGTAAGGCCGAGAACCGTTTTTGGGATGACGGTTAGCACGTCGCCTAAACAGGTTCGGGTGGCTGTCAGAATTGGCATAGCTCGGCGTGATCCCGGCTCAAAGATCCCGGTCGTCAGGAGCCCGAAATTACGGTGATTTGAGCCCCAGATTACAGATGCAGACTGATTTTATGCAAGCTGCAACAGCGATGACGGCTCTCAGTCACCGAAGGAAGTATCACCTCAGCTTCCACGAGGATTCAGGATGTTGTGGCCGACGAGACACAATTTTTCCAGAGATACGCGGATGGATAAGGCGGGAAGGCAATCCAAGAAGAAAACTAAAAATACGGCCCAGTGACCTTTACGCAGTACACGTTCTTGACTTGTTGCTTAGCGTCTGCTCTACGTGCCGTAAAGCTAACGGCCACCTGTCTGCCAATAGAAGGGCGGCAGCTGCCCAAAGAAAACGATGAACGAAAGGAACGGGGCAAGGGACGAACCTAAATAAGCTTAGCGCAAGTGCCTCCCCGAGAGTGGGAGCTGCGAAGCATCGCCAGCAAACGGGCGGCCTGCAAGGGGGCGGGGTCCTCTGGCTGCACCTCAGTGTAGGTAGGTAGGTAGGTACCTTTGGTACGTGTGTACGAATAGGTACAGTGAGGTTAGGTAGTGTCAAGTGTCTGCCAGACTGCCACCCGCTGCGACAGGTCACCCAACTCAATTTTTGGGACGGCAAACTCACGCCCTCGGCCACCACATCTCGCTGCTGGCACTACAACTCTTTTCTGCTGATCCACCTTGCATTTGCATTTGACTGGGAAGAAAAGGATGTCTCTGCCTCCCCAGGGAAAGGCTTTTTTCATCATCCTCCCGTCTCCGCGCCGATAGCGATTACGAAGCGGTTGCTCTGGTGTCACGACCGACCCTCTTGCCATCCACGTCCCTCCGGCTGCGACTCGCACCTCGCTCGATACAGTAAAAAACACCCCCTTGCTCCCTTCCCACCAAGGGGCTCCGGCACAATCCCACGCGCCAGCCACCAGCCACCCTTTGTCCTCCTCTGCTCCTTCCTACCTTCCCAAACGGAAGACGCTGTGCGATTGTTTGTCTGAGCTTTCATTGCTTGCTCTGTTGTTCGAAGTCTGTCCGTTCAGATACCCTCAACCGACTCCACCTCGTCCACCAGAGAAGAACATGCTCCCTACGGCCGCGACTACGACGACGACGACGACTTCCTCGTAAACAATTCTACGGTTCAACGATTTTCACCCTAATATAATGCTTTGACGAGTCACTCTCTTGCTACAGTCGATCACAAATAATGAACGGGTATTCCCCGGGGAGGCCCTCGCCGCCCCGGGCGCCTGGCCGCGGTGGGGATGAATACAGGAGAGACATGATGGACAACTCTGCGGCGCCACTGCGTGTCAATCCAGTCAGTCTGCCCTATCTGTATTGCCGGCCGCGCGCCATCCTCTAACAAATCGTAGATGAACACAAAGCTACCCCCGAGTTCCGCCCTCGTCGACCTCAAGGACCCTATCCAAGTCCATCTTTTGACCGAGACGGCATTGACCGACAGTAAACAGTTCAGGATATTGTCGCAAGAAGAGGTGGATAGTCTGAAGAAACAGGTGCAGTCCCTGACATTGCGCACGGAGCAAACACGCACAAACCTCGCCATCCAGACGAAATACCGAGATGCCGCGATTTCCATGGCCAGGCTCTATTCGCAGCCCGACGCTGGCAAGAGGAGGAGTTTGATCGGCAGCAACCGCAATAGTATGGGCGAATCCATGCGAGAGGCCGAGGCTGAACGGCAGGCTAGTGAGAAGCGATGCGAAGAGTTGTCAAACGAACTGCGGAACCTCGAGCAACGTCTGATTGAGTCGCAACGAAGTCTATTGGAGCATACCGCTGGTATCCTTCAGTTGACACACAAGGCTTCCAAGAAACCCGTAAATCAGCTGCCGGCGCAAATCATGAACGGAATCCCGGGAAGCCCTGAGAGCCTGTATACGTACACCAACGGTCGCAACAGCATGGAGGTCCCCGGGGATGACTCCTTCTTCGATGAAAATGGCCTGTTTCAAGACTTGGGCCTCGACGGTTCTCCCTCTCGCGGAAAACCCAAGGTCACGCCACTGAATATCCCATCCAAGGCGCCTGGAGTTGAAGACAAGCAGCTGCGAGAGGAGGCGGACAGACTCAAGGAGGAAAATGCCCAACTCCGCGCGCAAGCCGACGCGGTCAGCAGGCTGCAAGACGAGAACGCACAACTTCGGGCACAGGCTGATGCCTTGAACGCTGAAATCGACTCTTTGCAAAAGGAGAATACACAGCGACTACAATCTGTCACGGATACGGAGCAAAAACTTATAACTTTCAACAACTCTTTGCGAGAGGTAATTGTAAACTTTAATCCTGCCAAGAACAGCGGCTTCCGCGAGCCGCCTGCGCCAGCTCAGCCTGGGGTCGCACTCGGAAGCCAGTTCGAATATCTAGAGCAGGGTCTCATGGTGGTCAGGGAGGAACAGCAACTGCAAGGACAGTCGTCAGACGGTCTCAAGGATGCGGAGTCTGCAGCCGCGGCGTCTTCCATTGCTCTTACTCGAGCCGAGGGACGCATCGAAGATCTAAACCAGAAGTTGCGTGACGTTCTAGTCGTGGTTGACCCTGAGTTCCCTGAGGTCCCCAACGCAGGCCTAGATGCGCAGTTCGACTACCTGCGAGATGCGTTGATCCTTGTTGAGGAAGAGATGAAGAAGACCGCCAGCAAAACAGCGGTCAAGAAACAGGACGACGAACAGACAGAGGCAGTCCTCATGGGCTTGTGGGATATTATCCAGTCCGGCTTCGCCAGCATCCAGAAGCAAAAGGCAGACCGCCGCCGCACGCGACTGGAGCAAGGAATGGGAGAGGACGCCGACATGTCAGAGGACGAGAATATCGATACAAACGAGCCTTATTCTTTGTCGGCCTTCTCGACCAAGGTGCAATGGTTGTACAGCCAAGCCACCAGCCTGAAGGAACAAAAGTCAGTCCTCAAGCGCCAGATCAAGCAGCAACGAGAGTTGGGCAACAAGACAGAATCTCAGAAGGACACTGAGTTGAAGGCCAAACAGGATCAGCTCGACCAGCTCCGCGCAGCCCAGGCGCGGGCGGATGAAGAGAGAACCCTCGAGCTGACCATTAAGCAAGACCAGCTCGACCAGCTTCGGTCACTGTTGGAGCAATCCGAGGCGGAAGTTACAGAGGCTCAGGCGAAGCTTGCCAAGGCAGAGAAGGAGGCTGAGACTGCGAATGTCACACGCATGGCCAACGAATCTAGCTCCGCGAGGACCCAGAACGAAATCAAGGAGCGCGATGCCAAAATTGCTGCGCTCGAGGCAAGCGTCAGAGAGGCGGAGACAAAGCTGTCGGGCATCAACAATAACGTCCAGGAGACTGACGGCAAGCTTTCAAAGGCAAACGAGGAAGTCTCTCTGCTCAAGACCAAGTTGGCGGCGGCAGAGAAGGCAGCTGTGGAGAAGCAGCAAGAAGCCGAGGCCAAGAGCAAGGAAGTCAAGGAGAAGGAGGAGGAGCTCGACCGGTTCAACATGATGATTGTCGAGCTGAAGACTGAGTTGACCATTGCGCAAGCTGAGCTTGACGGCGCGTACGGCTCTCGTAAGGAGAGAGCGACGCAGGCCGCGGCTATTAAGAGCACCGCCGAGGTCGAGCAGCTCAAGTCAGAGGTCGACAAACTTAAGGAGGAACTGAGCTCCACTCTTAAGGAACTCGAGAACATCACGGCTGAGACGATCAATGCCGAGAAGGAGAAGTTCGACGTTGAAACCAAACTTGACGATGCGCTGGCCACAAAGTCCAGCCTCGAGGGCGAGGTGGCTTCTCTCAAGGATCAACTCGACGCCGAGGTTCTCAACTCGAGGACCAAGATGTCGAAGCTGCAGGAAGAGCTCGATGCGGAGCGGCTCAAGGTGGTGCCAAGCCCCGGTGCTCGTGGTGCTGGAGCCACTATGCTCAGCGAACAGTTCCGAGCTACAATGAGAGAGGAGAGAAAGAAGTTCCAGGAGGACCTCAGGGTGAGTCAGAAACGTATTCTTGCAATTATCACCAGCATACTAATCAGCATCACAGGAGGAGCAAGGCAAGAGGAGACGACTCGAGGAAGAGCTGTCGAAGCTCAAAAAGTCCCAGGGCCCCGGGCGGTCACCCCTGAGCCCGAGATAATCGACCATATCATGACAATAATACAAGCGGCGTCCACGTTCTCCCACGCCATATCACACTTACGCCTTCATTTTCATTTACGCGGAGTTCTCCAACATCAATATCAATTATTGCTACACATGTACCACTAGACACGGGGAGACGATGACCGGTTTACGTTTGCCAGTCTACCACACGAGTTTGCTGGCCTTCTTCTTTCTCCAGCCGGCGTCGCTGTTTATTTTGCATAGCGGGATTATAGAAAAAAGGAGAAAAGGGGAAGAGATATTACCTTCTTGTTTACGTTGGATACCACGCCTTCCGGCTTGTACTGTTGGATGCCGTTGCTGTTGGTCCCATTTTATGTTTTGTACAGAAGCTTGGTGTAGTAGTTTGGATACCATACGACAGAGAATGGAGATGACAGGAGTTTGACTAGGAGAGAAACACCCCAACTAAGAGGTTGAATGAATACCATCACCAGAAATATTTGACCTACTAACGATTGTGCCCCTCACGTGTCGAAATGATGTGTTTCAGCGGGCTGCTGCACTGGTTCCGTCGATGTTGAGGTTATGATCCGATGAATCTGAAAAGGATTACTCCATAGTTGCATTGCTGCTAATGCTGGACATGGTCTTTTCGGATTCATCAAGCTTACTCACACTAACACGAACATGGCCGATCCCGCGTAAGCCCCGGGAACCCGGCAGGATCGTGATACAAGTCAGCCAGGTCCCTCCAGCTAGTTATGCAAATACCGCTTTGGGCTGCTGGGTCCAGCAGACATGCCTCAGCTTCATTGTGTCTGTCTACCCGAGTCCAGAGTAGGAGTCTGACGATGTTTCACTACCCTCACTCAGCCTTGGCCGTACTCATGGCTATGAAATATGGGTTGAAGCAGATTGGATATCTACAAGGACTCTCTCTCTCTCTCTCTCTCTCTCTCTCTCTCTCTCTCTCACACACACACACACACACACACACACACACACACTCCTTGCAAGACTCACGACCAAGATGCCTGCATGGTCAGTCAGATACGTCAGTGCCAGACCCCCTATTGCCGCAGGAATAAGTGCTTCTCGTATAGGGAGAGAGGATATTTTCAGCCTTGAGCAGGATCTACAGGGCACCAATTCAATACAAATCGTAGAATACGACATGAAGCACTCAAAGTGGGAACAGCAGGAAGCTTCACAAATCCAAAAGAGTTTTGCTAGTCGGGCAGTGTCCCCCTATAATCCGTGATTATAGAGAGAACGATAGGAGTAGTAATAAGGATAACGACGATAATAATAACAACGATAGTAACGACGACGACGACGACGACGACGACTATTATAATAATAAATGACGATAATAGATAATAACGATAACGAAGGCGAGAAATATAATAGTCGCTTTAGAAACAAGCTACGGATTGCACACGTATGTATAGACACTGCCCGGATAGCTAAATGATACTGCCCGACTAGCAAAACTCATCCAAAAATTTCACGAGGCATATCATCATCGAGCTGCAATCACCCATTTCGGAACTCTCAACAGAAGAGCACATGCCGGGGACACACGCGCGCTCTCTCTCCCCGCCCTCAACACGAAAGCCATCGTCCCGGACCCGCGTGAGCATGCCAGAAAGACGATCACGCATCTGTAATCATTTCGCCCCTCCCAAGATTGGATGTGATATCGTCATCCCACGGCGAAAAGGTGGAGGCGAGATGGGCGCGCCGCGGCCACCGCCCGCTCCGCCGGAAGCCAATCCGCAATGGGACCAGAGAGAAAGGGTAAAGAAAAAACGTGTCGAGCACATGAGATAGATTCGCGCGCCCTCAATTCCGCCTGCCGCATATGACCGGACCCGTCTCCGTTGCGACATTCTTGATGGTCACCTGACTGATCCCCAAGACGCAAGACCCTCAACAAAGGGAACAGGGCGGCAAATCGCTGCTCAATGAAGCTCGAGATCGACAACGAGCATGATCTTCGGCCTGCCAGATTGGATGTGATGTTCGAATCCTGGCATAGGCCGTATAAGGCATGACACAATGTTGGGCTTAGGGCGGCCCCCAAATGGCAGGGCAGGTAATTACCCAAAGGAGCCGGGGGTGAGAGAGGGAGGAGAGGGGGGGACGAACCGTGAACATGAGGAAAAGCAGCCTTGGTGTGCGTGGTTCATGGGATCTGCGAATCCGCCGAAAGGTCTGGATTCCTCGGGAACGCCCATCTTCGCGAAGATGACGATACGGCAAGGCGAGGCAAGGTCCCACGGGTCATTTGGGAGGATGGTTGGGGTGGTGGTGCCGGTGGAAGTGCCGGGGCTGGTGTTGGCACCGAATGGTCCAACGCATGGGGGAGAGGAAGTGAGAAGAAGACCCTTGCCTCGTCTTTGTCTCTTTGACCGCGCTCCCCGAATCAGGCACCGTCAGTGCCTTGTTGCCCTTTGGCAAATGAGTTTTTGCGACTCTGTTTCCACGCCGCTTTGGCATCGAAATTTGGTGGGGAGGCAATGGTGCTGCCGATCTTCATTGTCTGTAGGGCGGCGGAGCCACTGGCCCAAACCGGACGGCTGACAATCTTTGATTGGAGCCGAGACTCGAGTAGCGCACGACCAGGGGGGCGGGTTGGCTGCGAAGTCTTTCAAAGACAATGAGCTTGTAGCGTGTTCCTGATGGCGTACGTGTCACGATGGAGACTTGCCAGATTTGTAGGGGCATCCTTTTGAAGATGGAGGCGTGGCAGGCAGGCAAGCAGGCGGTGGCAATGACAACGTGGACAGAGAAAGTCTGATGCACGATGGGGGAGGGGCGGTAAGTTGGAAAAGGAACGACCCAAATGGCGGTGATCACGGCAGGTGAGGTATTCATGCAGTTTGGCGGCCTTTTACAGCAAGACAACCATATGTAGGTTGCGTATGGAACGTCAACGCAGCAGCGCGTCTGGGCTGGGGCGTGAACACCTGGCTGCTCACCGCCCTCAAACCGCATCCCTATGGCATCTTTTGAGGAGATCTCCCTTCTCATTAGTCACAAAAGCCCTTGCAAGCTTCTGAGGACGAACCCTGGTGAAACTCGCTGTCGGCAAGCGAGAGTCGATGCTGAAGAATTGAGCTGAGGTCATGGCTGGCATGGAGGCCTTGATGGCAAAGCTGCAGAGTCATATCCACACGTTTTGGTGGATTCAATGGAGACGGGGCCTGGATGAGGAGGGCCAAGACCATCAAATGCTGCGTCGCTTTGAACACGCATTGGTGGCGAGCGTATCCGTTGACTGTAGGGCTTCGCCAAAAAAGCTGAAGCTGAGGCAGAGCAGATGCAACTGAACGACATTAAAAAAAGATTGGACTCCAAGGACCCATGCTTGCCCACCCACATGGTGACCTCAAGGGCGGAGTCCCCGATGCTGGCTCGAGAACAGCGTAAGGGCTTCTTTCTCAGGGGTTTGGGCCTTCTAGAAGACACGGAAAAGACGGGTAAAAGAGGAGGTGCCACAGCTCGGCCCAGATCCCGCAGTGATGTGATTTGAAACGGTTGATGCTGGAAGGTTGGGGCTCTGGCAAGTGGGCAAAGGGGGGCGTGGCAGTGTGGCACTGATGGCAGCAGGGCCGTTCAGCAATGAAAAATAAGAGACGAGACAGACGTCGACCGGGCACGGAAGACAGGCGCACTTCGGGAAAGGCCTATTTGCTCTGTGTGGGCACGGTCCGGACGTTGTCCAGCAAAGGCCCTTCCCTAACCCTTCCCACCGGCCAAGGATGCGACAAGAGGCATGGCGACAGAGTCAGCGACGTGTACGAGCTTTGTGTGGTGTGGGTGTGCTTGTGTGCATCTGACTTGTCACAGCCATCTGCTTCTCAGGACCCCAAACAGGTTGCCGACGCAGCGTCGTCTTCTGGGCACACACAAATCGTGCCGGGACGTGGTCCAACGACGCATCAACGACGATCAATCCAAACCGTACCGACACTGGGGGGCGTTGCGGTGCGGTGCGGTGCGGTTAACCTGAGCTGGCTGCCATCAATCAGCTGTTGCCACAGCGTGCTGCGTTGCTAGCTTGGTCTCTTTATCGACTTGGGATTCCACTTGCACCAAGTCCCGGCATCGGAAGTGGGAGGTTGAGCAGGGGAGGGGAGGCCACCCGGTGCAGACCGACTTTGGTGTTTGGTTGGTTTGGGTGGGATGCGCTGCGATGCAAGAATACTACTGCGTACGGTACTGAGAAAAGTCTCCTGACGGGCTGCAAGCTGCATTCGGTGGACGGGTTGCAGCATGGCAGTGATGTTGCCTCTGCACCGACACGCCCGCCTTAGGAGTAATACGGCAGAGGCGATATGCTTGCTGATCGTCTGAAGCGCCGGACAAGGTGCCCGAAGGCCGTGGAAAATGCAGTGGTCGGGGCATGTCGTGTGCGTGCTCTGGGAGCGGACCGAGTCATGGGCTCGATCCATCCCTCTATATTGTCACTAGAGCACCGGTTGGACAACGGCCACGCGGTGCACTTGTCTGAACCTCTGAAGCTTAGCGTGCGAAGACATGAAGCAGAACTTGTCGGGCGCGCGATGGTCAATGAAGTTAATGAGCGCCATCATGGCTGTCGCACTCGATGCATGACACGACAAACCGGCCAACGGTTTGCAGGTGGTGTTGCCAAAAACACTAGGCCTGCCGTGATGGATGTAAACGTTGAAAAGTGCCGTCTCGGACGAGCGACGCGCGTTGTACTACAGCGCAGAGGAGAAAACGAGGTACCATGTAACAGGTAGCAGCCGCACTCGAGCTGTTCTGTACCCCTCGCTCCCCTAGCAAGGGCCTTGTTGAAATGCAACTCTCGCCTAGGAAGAATCCAGAAGGCCCGGCGAAAAAAAGGGCCAATAACGTTGCACTAATGTCGTAGTTGGGACGATGGGATCTGCCAAGCATCCTCGTCGGCGACTCTGTCAATCTCTCTTGGGTTGATTGGGGGCAGCTCAGTCAAAGGCAACCCTCAAGCTTTGGGCCGGGTTTGTCTGGCTAGGCTGT